TAAAACCTTGATAGTCCTTGATAAACGTTATCCTATTGGGCTGATGAGGTCATCCCTATCTAACATTTTTCAGAAATCTGAAGTCAGGCAGAAGGACAAGTTGAAAAGAAGATGGACATAGAGACTACTATTATTATTTCTCTTTATGTTATATCAAAAATATTTTTACTGATCGAGGGAAGATTATGTAATCGTACGCTGAATATAATAATACAAGGAAGGATTATTGTAAGTTATTTGTGATTTTATTCCTTAATAACGTCCGGGTATGTTTTTTTAAAGAAAAAAAATTTGGGGAGTGACAAAGATTAAAGCGATATAATAATACATTATATAAACAAAAAATAGATTTGATATGAAGCCCCCCAAATATCCATGCAATGCATCAATGACAATAAAAGATAAAAGAAATCGTACCTCAACCTTGATCTCTACTTGATACCGTGTACTGTGACAAAACAACCAAAATAATATTTTAGAATAACAATAGATAATAAGAGTTTAGTTAAGCTAAAATAATTTTTGGAATAGCAAACGAAAAATAGTGATACTTAAATTTGATCCAAAAATATTTAATGAGGATCAACTTCAAGTGACTCGAACTTATGGAATTACTAAATAATAACTAAAAAAAAATCTTAACCAAAAATTTTGATCACAACAGCGAACTCTTAAGTCAACAAAATGTTTGACCCTTTTTCTCTCTCTCTCCCTTCCTTTCTTCTCTTTGGTGCACTGTTTGAAGGCCCAAAGGCAAACTATTTATAGCCAAAGCCTTGACTTTCAATGTCATGGTTGAGGCCATTTTCCTTGCATCACATGGACAAGTGTCCATTTCTTTGCCATTCTTTTTTTTATTTCCTTGTTGTATGTTTTACATTTGTTTTACTTTGTGTGTCTTCTTAACACTTATATACATATATTCATTTATTATATATATATATATATATATATAGATAGATAGATAGATATATTTATTCATTATTTTATTATGAAACTTGACCTAAATTATAGTCATTTAGCTTATTTTCACGTGAAGAGTCTATATTTGAGGTACATTTGTTTATTTAAAATTTTTAAAAATAATCTTTAATTATATAGAATCATAATTGACGACCTAATTAGCATGTCAATGATTAATTTATATATGGGTCATCACACGTCCTCTCTGATATGGTTATGATATGCTCATGTCTGATTGTTGCAATTGTAAATTTCCTAGAATTTCATGAAATTTTGAACAATAGTAGGATCTCAAGCTCAGTCATGTGAATTCGACTGCAAATATAACATCTTAATAGATTGATAGGTGACAGTGATATAACATGTTATAATCAACTGAGGATGGAAAAACGATTTTTTTTTTCTAGATTGTGCATACTAGTTGAACAGGTTGGTGGACTCATTCTTACAAGGAATGTTAGCGTTGAAGAGACTATAACTATGTTCTTGAGTATTATTAGTCATGATCATAAGAATAGACCAACCAAATTCAGTTTCATTAGGTCTGGTGAGACGGTTAACAAGTATTTCAATGCAGTTTTGTTGACGGTTCTTAGGCTACGTCGATTATTGCTTGCAGTCCCTGATCCAATCACAGCAGAATTCACTGATCATAAGTGGATTTTTTTTAAGGTATTGAAAGTGTATCCACCTTTGAGTTGTCCTGTCATGTAGTATGTAGTTAGTGAAATTTCAGTTGATAATATGTTTATTTCCTATTGTATAGAACTGTGTTGGGGATTTAGATGACATTCACATTAGAGCCAAAGTGCCACTTGTGCACCAAGCCAGATATAGGACAAGGAAAGGGAAAATTGCAACAAATGTTTTAGGAGTATGTGCGCCCAACATGAGAATTACTTATGTTTTGCATGGTTGGGAGGGATCGATGGTAGATTCAAGATTCCTTCGCGACGCAGTTATAAGACGAATTGGGTTACGTTCAACGGGGTAAGCTTTAGTGGAAATTTTTAGTGCCTTGTTTATTTTGTGCAAATTGTGTACTAATGGGTATACACACAATTACGACAAGCACATATTATTTATGTGATGGTGGATACACCAATGATAAAGGTTTCTTAGATCTTTTTAGGGGTCAAAGATACCATCTTGACGAATTTAGAAGTGGAAGGACAGCTCCTCGGAATGCCGAGGAATATTTCAACCTAAACATTCCTCTGCCAGGAATGTTGTTGAGAGGTGTTTTGCTCTCCTCAAGATGCGATGGGTAATCCTTCAAACTGCTTGTTTCTACCTTGTCCCCACATATAACAGAATTGTTGTTGTTTGTTATCTGTTACATATTTTCATTATAAATGAGATTCAAGTTGACCCATTGAAAGACCAAATACCTAAGTATGTTCTTAATGAGGATTATGACAATACCAACACCAACATAGTTGATAGTGTTGAGACTTCTACTGCGTAGACTACTTGGAGAAATCAGTTGGTGGATGAAATGTATGACGACTGGTGGATGGATAGATGAATTGGGGGGGGGGGAGGAGAGTATTTTACGACCTTCAATTATTAGACTAAAGTATGGATATGTTTGTAATGTGTTATTGGTACTTTGTAGCCCACTTATATCGGTTTGATTAATGGTTGTTCTAAATGTTAAGGAATGCAATTGATTTGGTGGTGTTATTATGTTATATATTCTACATTTAACATATTGTATTGATTTTACATTGCATATTCACTTTAGACTGATACATACACACACACACACACACACACACACACACACATATATATAGTGAATATGGTTAGTGTTGGCAACTTGCAGAGTATGAGTGGTATTCAAGCGAAAAAAGGGACCAAGCGAATATGCACAAATGCAGAAGAGGCATAACTATTATATGCATTGAAGGATATATGTGCAACGGGGTTTAAGTGCCCTAAAGGTACATTCTAGTCAGGCTATCTGCAGATGTTAGACCAGAAAATTGGTAGCAATACGATTCGTGCACAACCACACATCGAATCAAAGAAAAAAAAATGTGAAAGAGGCAGTATAATTGTATACTACTATCCATGATGAACATGAGTGGTTTCGGGTTTAATGACACTGATAACAAAATCGAGGTTGATTCTGATGATGTGTGGGAAAAGTATTTAAAGGTAATTTGGCCTGTCATACCACTTTTTAATTAATAAAGGACTTTGTTATTTTTGGTACTCCACTTTTTCAAGACATGTTCTTTCGTGGTATAATTGTTGCAGAAGGATAAGCAGGCTAGGGGGATGCATGAAAAATGTTGACCATATTACAAAGATTAAGGAATTATTTTCGGCAAGGATCGAGCAATAGGAGAATTTGCGAAGGATCTTGATGAAATGATTGGAGGGAATGACAATGAGGAGGAATAACATGAAGTTGGCCCACCTCACACTAACAATGAAAATAAGATCAATGATGCAAGTCATAGTGCGACTCAAGGCATGGATGTTTCCACTGACACCCCCCACTACCAAAAAGTTCAAGAAGAGAAAGGCTTCAATAGCTACCGAAGTAATTACAAGTAGCTTGGGTGATATGACCAGGGTCTTAGGTGATTATGTTGCTACTTGTGGTCGTAAGCTAGTTGCTACTTGTGGTTGTAAGCTAGATAATATTGCACATAGGGTAGGCCATGCCGAAGATGTGTTTGAATCGAGGAGAAGAATTTTTGCTGAGCTTGAGAAAATTGGGTGGCTTGATGAGGATCTACTCTATGAGGCTGGTTATAGAATTGCCTCTGATCTTGTTAAGGTGGACTTGTTCTTCAGCTTGTCTGACGCTTCAAAGCCATCGTGGGTAAGGAAGTTGTTGTACGGATCTTGTTACCAACATGTGTAGAGTTGGGTAACCATTCTTTTGACGTGATATAGGTGAAATTAGTCATATAGACCTTATAAAGTGATGTGATATACTGTTCACTTTTTTGCTTGTTCGCCTATGTCCGTATGTAAAATATGATTTTGTATTTATGTAAATTATTTCCTATGTTTGAAAGAACATGTTGGGTTGTTTTGAAGTTTGAACAAGTTAGCTCTCTTGCATAATGACGTTATGTTTATTAACACTTGTTTATTATATTAGTATGCACTTGAATAGAAATGTACTAGCATTTATTTAGTTAGACAAGTGATGCACAAGGGAACACTTTTATGTTGTGTTTATTGGGAGACAAATTGGTGTCTAAACGACCAGGCAAGAATGTCATGTGCAAGTCAATTGGTACCTGAACGCATTGTACAAGTCTTATGACTCGTACATCGAGGCTAAAAATGCATTGTGCACGTACATTGCGAATGAAGATGTCGTAAGAAATGTCCACGTGGATAATCGTCGTGTGGAAGATACAATGGACATTCCTTAAGCAGCCCTGGCAGTTGTTAGGCGCGATGACGTGGGTGAGGGAGACTGTAATGTCGGTAATTGTTTCATGTATGTTGTGATGTTTGTTTTGGGTATGGTACTAACTCATATTCTGTACTTTTTTTTGGGTAGATTTTCTTGAACTATGTTTGTATTTTTTTGGCTCCTTTTGGACAATCTTTAAGGTTAGTGTTTGGTGCTCTATTTAGTAAACATTATAATTTTACCTCCTCTATTTTGACATTGACCGGGGAATGTATGAATATGATCTACAATTTGAATGGAATTCTATTAGGAATTTTTGTGTTATGCTATGATTTTTTGTTTAATGAATTTATATAAAACGGTGGTGTGTCAACGGTTTTTGCATTTGGCTTGCACAATATTATATAGAAAAATGTTGGTTCCTCGAATTGGTGTTGCGGAAGTGATGTCTTTATGGATTTGTTGCTTCAAAACAAACAATGGGGCATAGTGCTTGAATAATGCAGCATGATAGCACAAAACCTCAGGAATCTGTTAAGGCGGATGAAAAGGAGGCTGCCTGCATTTAGCATGGATCAGATTGACTTTGTGAAGATTTTTTTTTTTTTGGAAGAAGTAGTATTTCACTATCAAGTCTGTGTTGAAGACGATGATGTTTGCTTCGGACCCGGCCAACTTGGGCGTCGTCGGTGGGCCGATTGCTAGAGCTGAGGACTACTTAGTGGTAAGTGTTTAATTCAAAGCTATATTAATGAATATCATAGTTAGTCTCTTTGATTTATTTGTTTACACCTTTGCTTGAATTCTTGCTGTGTTTAAAAGTGATTAACTTGCAAGCAAACAAGTTTGCTAGAATCTTGTGTGTCGAACCATGTCCTTTGTTCGAGATGATGGAGGTTTTCGACAAGGTGTCCCCAGAAGAGCTGATTAAAAGTGTGGGCTCCTATTCGGGTGGTGTTCTAGTAGAAGACAAAGAGGTTATCGATGTTTCTAATTAAGCATGATTCCTGTCAAATTATGACTATATGTATATGGTTCCCACATGACATTTTGTTTTTTGGGTATGAATTCATGTGGGAGTAGTTGTAAATCACGACTAACATGGTCGAACTTGGTTGATGTTGCTATGTTTGGGGGGTTTCATCTTTTGGGAATGTTGGTGTTTATCTTATGTATGTAAAAAGGTTAAAGGTGGATCTTTTAAACTTGCTTCTGGTTGTTGGCATCGAGGTTGGTTGAACCCTTTGTTGATGTGCTATGTTGAGGTGCAAAAAATAGAGGCTATGCTGGAGCCAGTTGCATTGCTTGCATTTTGTCTGTTGATGTGCTTGCACTGGTATCTTATATTTGACCTTATATATATTGATGTGCGATGTGTGCAATTTTTTTTTGTAAAAGGAATGACAGTGTTGTGTGTTGTGTATGCATTGATAGCCGGATGAATTATTTCAATGGAGATTTTGTTGTTTGTAGTGTTAAGGCTGAACATTGGACGGATGCTTACAAAAAATACAACATTCATATTGTTACTGAAATGGTTGCTACTGGTTACCTGGGAGAGAAGAGCAACAATGCATGCAAATATGTGGAACATTAAAAAAAAAAAGTGTTTGGTTTTATTCATTCACGGGTGGTTATGTTAACAATCAATGACATGGATTGCTTTGGATTATAAGGTTACAATTGTCTTTTTACAGTGCATGATTCATCTGACACACCTTTTTGGTAGGTCTCACACAAATAATTTTTGTAAGAAACAAATAAGGGGAAGGATGGGATATAAGTGTAAAACCAGGTATAGTAACTCATTGGATAGGAATGGAATGGATATCATTTCCATTCCCACCCACAATCAATCCCTCAAACAAACATATCCTAAGTGTAAATCAAGGGATAACTGTTTAAGAAACTGATTTAATGTTGAAGATTACTTTTAAGTCATTAGAACTGTATTTTGGAGTTTTAAAAAAATAGTGGACTTAATTACTTATTATTAAGATTAAAAATGAACTTATTCTCAAATAAGTTTTCTTTATGGACTAAACTTATTATAAGTCTCTTAAGGAGGACTTAGTCCTAATTTTTACCTTTTTTATTGGTTTGGGTGGATAGTGGTGGGCCCAGATTTTTTTTTTTTTTTAGGTGGGCTTAGTTTTTTAATTAATTCTTTTGGATAGATATTGTGGGCCTAGTGTTTTTGTCTTTGGTTTTGACTGGGTATAAGTAAAATATTATACAAATATATAATAGGCGTTTAGGGTGACCGATACCTCTACAAGAACTTAATAGGATAAAGAAACAATTTTTAAAATAATTAGGACAGAAGTCCATCTGCTAGGAAAAAGTCAGAAAAGCCCTTTTAGATGAAGAAGACGAAAAAGCCTTCGATTTTGGGAATCAAAAGCATCGCATGTTTCTTGGCATCAATTACCAAGGAGCCATGAATGGCAGTTTTCAAAACCAAACCATTCCTAAAACTTTTTTGTATTTCAAAGATTTTGGGATTTCAATCTATATTATCAAATATATTTTTCATATTTGTCTGACGAATATATCTTCCATATCATCAAATACAGTTGCCAGAATCGTTGTTTGCAGTGGCCGGAGTCTTTGATTCCCCATTATTACCATTGTTGGAATTGTGGGTTGTAGCCAAAAAAAAAATTCGGTATTCTTACATTCAAGATCGTTTATATGGAGAAAGAAGGAGAAGGTCTTCGACGCTGATTTAATATTCCCACGATATTTGGGAAGCTTTTCGTCGAAATCTTTGTGCTACTTCGCCGGAGTATCTGAGTTTCTCTTTTCTAACGGTATTAATTTCAACTATTCATTTGTTATTACTTGAAAAATCCCCAAATCCCCAAAATAGAAAAGATTAAGCCCTAATTTTTCGGCTTTATTTCGCCGGAATTATTGCAAATCTTTAGTTCGGCTTCAATGGGTCATCTCCAATGGTAAGAAAATCACCTAATTTAAATTTTTTTGTGCTTGAAAAATTCAAAAACATAATATATATAGCCCTAATTTTAGTGAGAATTTCTTTAATTTTTTTTTAATTTTAGATATATTAATTTTTCATGAATTATAAGAGTTTCAGTATCCATAGGCATGATGTTACTGTATGATGAATCTCTAGTGAGAATTCGAAGCTCTTCGACTTTGATTTGGTTTTTGGAAAATCACCTATTTTATATTTTTTCTTGCTTGAAAAATCTGAAAACATAACATACACAACTCTAATTTTTGTGAGAATGTCTTTAAATTTGCTTTTTAATGTTAAATACATTTGTTTTCCATGAATTATAAGAGTTTTAGTATCTGTAGGCATAGTTTTATTGAATGGTGAATCTCTTTTGAGAATTCGAAGCTCTTCGACGTTGATTTTGGTTTTTGAAAAATCACCTATCTTAAATTTTGTCTTCCTTGAAAAATACAAAAACTTAAAATAAACAGGCTCAATTTTAGAAAAAAAAAATGTCTTTAAATTTGATTCTTAATGTTAAATAAATTCGTTTTTCATGAATTATAAGAGTTTCATGAAACTATAGGCATGGTGTTACGGTATAGTGAATCTCTTTTGAGAATTTGAAGCTCTTCAAAGTTGATTTTGGTTTTGGGGAAATCACCAATTTTAATTTTGTTCTTCCTTAAAAAATACGAAAACATAAAATACACAACTGTAATTTTAGAAAGAATGTCTTTAAATTTGCTTCTTAATGTTAAATAAATTTGTTTTCCATAAATTATAAGAGTTCCATAAAACTGTAGGCATGGTGTTATTGTATGGTGAATCTCTTTTGATAATTTGAAGCTCTTCGACGTTGATTTTGATTTTTGGGAAATCACCTACTTTAAATTTTTTCTTACTTGAAAAATCCAAAAACATAAAATACACATCCCTAATTTTAGTGAGAAATTCTTTAAATTGGTTTCTTAATATTAAATACATTCATTTTTCATGAATTATAAGAGTTTCAGTATCCGTAGGCATGGTGTTACTGTATGGTGAATCTCTATTGAAAATTCGAAGCTCTTCGACTTTGATTTTGGTTTTTGAAAAATCACTTATTTTAATTTTTTTTTAACTTGGAAAATTCAAAAATATAAAATAAACAACCCTAATTTTAGTGAGAATGTCTTTAAATTTGCTTCTTAATGTGAAATACATTAATTTTTCATGAATTATAAAAATTTCAGTATCTGTAGGCATGGTGTTACTATATGATGAATGTCTTTTGAGAATTCGAAGCTCTATAACGTTGACCTTGGTTTTTGGAAAATCACCTACTTTAAATTTTTTCTTCCATGAAAAATCAAAAAACATAAAATACATAGCCCTAATTTTAGTGAGAATGTCTTTAAATTTGCTTCTGAATGTTAAATACATTCGTTTTTTATGAAGTATAAGAGTTTCAAAAACTGTAGGCATGGTGTTACAATATGGTGAATCTCTTTTAATAATTCGAAACTCTTCGACGTTGATTTGAGTTTTTAGAAAATCACCTATTTGAAATTTTCTCTTCTTTGAAAAATCCCAAGACATAAAACCCATTTGTTTTTCATGAATGTTAAATATATTAGACCTATTTTATTGAACTCAACTCTTCGATGTTGATTTTGGTTTTACTTATTGTAATATAGTTACACTATACGGTGACACGATATAGGGGCATGGCAAAAACATGGTCGTCATCAGTGAAAAAAAAATGAGTTCAAGTGTAGGGAAGCAGTTGAAGAATAAGAATTTCAACAACCTCAGGATGTGGATAAATATGATCCACAATATAGATCTAATATGACTGTCATTATAATGAAATTATTTTCAACGAAGAGCAGAAGAGAATGTTGAAGAACACCCCATTTTGGTTGCTATTTGAGAGCATTATAGACAAACATGTTGACAAAAAATGGTACATAAAAAGTGACAACATTATCCTTGAGATAATTTTATGCTTCAATGGCAACACTTCCAGATTTTGTATAGGGGCCGAAGCCAAAGAAGTAAAAATGCAGAGAAATTATGTGAGTCTAATATTTGGGATTCAAAAAAATTTCGAGGAAATTGATTCAATATTAAATGGGAGGGTGTTGACTCCATTTGTTGAACAGAGATTTGAAAACGATCAAAGGTTGACAACACCAATTATAAAGAGCAAACTTATCCAAGCATCATGATGGGGCACATAAAATGATTTTGAGGATAAACCATGATGGGGCACNTTGAAAATTCGAAGCTCTTCGACTTTGATTTTGGTTTTTGAAAAATCACTTATTTTAATTTTTTTTTAACTTGGAAAATTCAAAAATATAAAATAAACAACCCTAATTTTAGTGAGAATGTCTTTAAATTTGCTTCTTAATGTGAAATACATTAATTTTTCATGAATTATAAAAATTTCAGTATCTGTAGGCATGGTGTTACTATATGATGAATCTCTTTTGAGAATTCGAAGCTCTATAACGTTGACCTTGGTTTTTGGAAAATCACCTACTTTAAATTTTTTCTTCCATGAAAAATCAAAAAACATAAAATACATAGCCCTAATTTTAGTGAGAATGTCTTTAAATTTGCTTCTGAATGTTAAATACATTCGTTTTTTATGAAGTATAAGAGTTTCAAAAACTGTAGGCATGGTGTTACAATATGGTGAATCTCTTTTAATAATTCGAAACTCTTCGACGTTGATTTGAGTTTTTAGAAAATCACCTATTTGAAATTTTCTCTTCTTTGAAAAATCCCAAGACATAAAACCCATTTGTTTTTCCTGAATGTTAAATATATTAGACCTATTTTATTGAACTCAACTCTTCGATGTTGATTTTGGTTTTACTTATTGTAATATAGTTACACTATACGGTGACACGATATAGGGGCATGGCAAAAACATGGTCGTCATCAGTGAAAAAAAAATGAGTTCAAGTGTAGGGAAGCAGTTGAAGAATAAGAATTTCAACAACCTCAGGATGTGGATAAATATGATCCACAATATAGATCTAATATGACTGTCATTATAATGAAATTATTTTCAACGAAGAGCAGAAGAGAATGTTGAAGAACACCCCATTTTGGTTGCTATTTGAGAGCATTATAGACAAACATGTTGACAAAAAATGGTACATAAAAAGTGACAACATTATCCTTGAGATAATTTTATGCTTCAATGGCAACACTTCCAGATTTTGTATAGGGGCCGAAGCCAAAGAAGTAAAAATGCAGAGAAATTATGTGAGTCTAATATTTGGGATTCAAAAAAATTTCGAGGAAATTGATTCAATATTAAATGGGAGGGTGTTGACTCCATTTGTTGAACAGAGATTTGAAAACGATCAAAGGTTGACAACACCAATTATAAAGAGCAAACTTATCCAAGCATCATGATGGGGCACATAAAATGATTTTGAGGATAAACCATGATGGGGCACACACTAAGTTAGGGGTATGTTTCATACATAGAATGAGATTAGAAAATATAACTAGTCTCAATCAATATTCAATGCACTGATTTCATCCCTTACAAAAAAAAGAGAGACACCTGACATAGTCAATGGATATGTCCTTGTAATACCGGTTAGTGGTTTAATTAAAAGTTGTGT